GGCGAGCAGGGCGGCCGCGCAGCTCCTCGGGACGCGGGGCGGCGGGCGGGCAGCCGCGGCCCTCGGCGAAGGGGGCTCCCCGGGGCGCTCCCCTCAGCTGGGGCGGCCTTGGGCGTGAGGGACCGGCCGTGCCTCTGGAGCCGCCAGCGTAGTTGCCTGGAGTCGGGTTTGGCAGGCCCTCACGTTAGGGGGATCAGCAGGCCGCGGTTACGAGCGCAGCTGCGAAGGGCGAAGCTTCGGCTTCGGTAACATCGAAGGAAGGAACGTTTCCCGGTCGGATAGTTGTGGTCGCAAAGCGGCGGCTGTAGAGCTCGGTTACCATAAAGCGGAGGGGGTTTATGTCGAGAGCGTATGTTGGTTTTTATTTAATACAGCAGAAGCCAGTACCAACACAGCATTAGTCTAGCTTATGTTTAGCTTTTAATATCCCGTCACGCTCTTCAACACTGCAGAAGAATTTATTATGCAGGAGCAAAGTAGCATGAAGAAGACATGATTAAAATTGAAGTCAGACTCGGATAGATATCAGACAGAGCTAGAGAGGATCAGCAGTTTGTGAACAAGCTTGGTGTTCTTTTTACTGTGGTAGTCATTACGGCCAAGCTATCAAGAGGTTTCAATTATTAGATAAAGTTACATAATTGGAAGTTTGGAACCATACATTTGAGTGAATCTGGAGACTGAAAATGTATGTTCAAAATAATTTTAAAATATGGTCCTGGACACCATTACTTTAAAGGCTTTATAATAATAATAATGAGTTTACCCATCTTGTTTTATGAGTGCGTTCTCAAAGCATTAATCCTGGATTACTAAAAAGCTGAAAGTAATTGTACAAGGGAGAAAATAAAATGTGATCTAACGAATGGCATATAGGCTGCTGAATAGCTACGCATATTGAAGCTTGTGGATTTCCGGCAGCTGGTTCTAGAATGGTTTAAATTGTCTCACTTTGTTTCTTCTCTGAAATTTCTCCAGTTGGTACTTAAAATAGCAAATATATGAATTTTTTATCATGTTTTACATTTAAAAAGACTTTTAAAATGATTTCTGCACTGACATCTTCTGTATAAGCATAGGAGTACATTATAAGAAGGCTAGTTCCTTGAATGACACAGTATTTTTTTTCTGTCTT